CAGTGACGGTTCTGTTCAGACAGAATTGTATTATGGGTTTATGGACCCATGATTGGTTAAGTTAAACCTCTGTAATAATTAACTAAGTCAGAATCAAAGTGATTAAGGGATTAAGGCTTTGTGAGAAGCCTAAAGACATGAAACGTAAAAGGAAAGCGTTGTCTTTATGTCATATGCTTGTAGACTATGATTATTGATATGATTGGTGGTCTAAAACATATTGTGATTCTGCCATTTGTGGACTTTGAGCTTGGTTGGACTCTTGGTTGGATAGTTAGCTTGCGAGGTAAGCTTTTGTGTCCTCGGTTTAGCCATTATTTGTTCCACCATACCCCATGGGAGGATGGTTTATATGCATGATGTGTTTTCATGTATTGATTTTGAAATGTTGTTGAGCTGTTATGTGCAAGTGCTTATAATATGCATGTGTTGTTCCACCTAGACGGTAAGCCTGTGTATGTATGAGACATGCCATATGGTGATTCTGTGGGTGGGTGTAAGTAGTACCTGCACTGAATGTAGGCAATAGACATGTAAATCTTGCATTTCTCTGGCCAGCAGAATAGATGACACACATGACATGATTATTCTGCTGCATTGCACTGATTTTGGAACTTATATTATATTATTGCTTTTGAACTTATATTGCACGTGTAAGTGAGCTTGAGGTGGAGAAATTCTTGAGGACCCCTTGCCTTACTGAGATTTCTGTTTAGAGATCTCACCCCACGTTTGGGGCACATATTTCAAGTTCAAGTAACTCGGGGTTGAGACCTCGGGCGGCAGGAGGCCTGAGCTGAATTGACTGTTGTATATCTGCTATAATGATATGATTGGATGTCGTTTATGTTTACTGTCTTTATGTTGATGATTGAGTTGTGACTCTGTTGGGCTTTGTTGCCTTATTTTGGTAAGTATGGGGATTGTCCATGCCACATTGATTGATTATGCTTTATTTTGGGAATCGAGTTGTATTAATGTATCAGGATTATGTCCGGACTACGTGTTGTAGATCTGTGACTTAAATACTCACATATTTATTCTATGAGATTATTCAGTGTAGCTAGCTGTCTATTTGCAATTACGTACAAGCAATATTTTGAAAAGAACTAAGTAATCAACTTGGTAATTGATAATGACGTCATAATTGAAAAGAAAAAGTTATTCCGCATTTTTAATTAAGCGTGGCTTAATACGATGACATGATAACAAACCGGGTATACACAGGGTGTTACAATATGTATTTGTATGTAAAGGATCCAACGGAAGACGGTAGTTTTTTCTGGTACTTTATGTTGATGATATTTTCCTTATTGGAAACAACGTGGATGTAATATCAAGCATAAAGAGTTGGTTAAGTTAATATTTTGGTACTCTTATGAGACCGGAAGAATAAGTTGTTGGCATCACTTTAGGCTACTTACATTGACAAAACTCTTGCCAAAATTCAACATGAGAATTCTAAGAGAAGAATTATAATTCTCATATGTGGAATTCATCTTCCTAAAGAGTAACCAAAGACTCATGAGAAGGAAGAATGCATGAGCAGGATACCTTATGCTTTGGCAAAACGTAATCTCATGCATACCATGTTGGCGTTAGTTAAACCAGACATCTGTCACGCAGTGGAGTAGTGAGACGGTACCATTCTGGACCTAGAAGAACACTAGATTATTGTTAAGCATATACTCAAGTATCTTTGGAGAACGAGAGATTATATGCTGGTATATTCTAGTGAGAGTCTTGAAAAGCTGAGTTTTCACAAATTCAGTTATTTCAAGTGGATATTGACTCAAGAAAATCAACCTCGAGCTATGAGTTTTACTCAACTAGGATAGGATTAGAAGTGGATCTGGTAGACCCAGTTACTAAGAGTTTTCCTGAACTTGTGTTCAAGAGGCATGTTACTTCTTTGTGTCTTAGGAGGATCCCAGACTTGCATTAAGAGAGTGGGAGTTATTGGTTTCATTGTGCTCTTGGAGTAAGACAATGAAATAATGAAATCATTTTTTGAATTTCATAAATAAGGTTTTATTTATTTATTTTGCACACTATTTACAAACATCAAGGTCCAGATCAATTGTGGAGTATATGATCATATGGATACGTTCATGGAAGACATGATCATAGGTTCTCACAATTGATGAATAAATTCACAGCTGTTAAATAAAGTTGGGCACTTTATTTAGGCTGCAATATTTTATGAAATAGTTTTTTCCGAATAATTGTAAAATATTGGTGTGAATTAACATTCACATTGGAAGGATCAAGGAGATATTTGATTAAGGTTGTTGATATACGTTCAACATATAAGGAAATCTAAACCAAAAAGAGAAAGAATGTTGATTAAATCTTAAGCAAAAAGGGCAATAATCACTGTTGATTTGTCAAAATCTTAATCAGAGATTGCATACTAATTTTGTGTTGATTTCTAGGAAAACAGACAAATTGGAGCTAAAGAGGGAAAGTTAAACCGAAGGCCCACGCTCACAGCGTGGATATGACGCTCATAGCGTGAAGGGAGCCCTTTCAGGCAGAAGCTACCACGCCACTAGCGTGGGAACCACGCTAGTGGCGCCAGAGATCAAATTCAGGCAGAAGCTACCACGCTGCTGGCGTGGGAACCACGCTAGTTGCGTGGTGCTCCAGGATTATAAAGAAAAACTCCCACGCTCACAACGTGGTAACCACGCTAGTGGCGTGGGAGGTGCGGACAATCAGCATTAAATCCTTTTTAAATCAGAGACAAGATTACAGTGAGATGCGGAAAAGATTAGATCAAGATTCTCCATCAGGTCAAAGACTTTATAAATAGAGACTCAGACCTCAAGAGAAAAACAGTTTTGCATAGAGAGGAAGACGGAGGCAGAATGCAGAGCAAGCTTTTTCTCCAATTTTCTGGTTTTATTATTTTATTTTATGAATTCTTTTCAATTCTTAGAATTGTCAGACATGAATATGTCTGGTGGTTTTTATTATTGTGGTAAGGGTCACAACCCTTGATGTGAACCCTTTGTAGTTTGGTTAAATTGATATTTAATTATTTCAAAATTGCATTTATTTTATCTTCTTCTTCATCTTTTAATTCTTTTAGAATTGATCACTCTCTTAGGATTGCAAGGGTTAGGGTTTTCAATAGAAATATTGGGATTCTAGTTCCTCACAAGGGTAAAATAACAATTCATGTATGCACTAGGGATAGGCTACATGAACTGCAAACGTGGAAAATTCACTAGGTTAAAAGATTAAATTGAAAAAGAATTTCTAAGGGATTAGGATTCTAATAGGGTTAATAAAGTTAAGATCACTAAGGGATTAAGGCTTAACTAATTAATTATAGATGGTGAATTGTTTGATCAATTGTGTAATTAAATATAAATATTAATCAAGATTACAAGGTAGGGATCGGAAAGGTGTTGGCGTCCTTTACTGCAATAGTTTCTGTTAATATTTTTCTCAAATCTCAACCTTTTACTTTAAAGTTTTCAAACTTCTCTTTGAATTGTTCACGAAATATTGAATAGTTCATAATTGTCACAACACAGTTATTTCAAAAACCTCTTTTTGTTAATCCAATAAGAAAAGAATAGTTAAACTAGTACTTGGTGCATTAATCCTCGTGGGAACGATACTCTACTTACCACTTTATTACTTGAAACGAACGGTATACTTGCCGATTTCGCAACAGGTTTTTGGCGCCGTTGCCGGGGATTGACTACGCCTAATTTATTTTTAACTTTTGAATTTCTTTATTGGATTTTGTTACTAATCTTTTTGCTACAGTTTATGCGAGGTAAATTTCATCGAGATTCTTTACAGTTTGATCCAGAAATCGAGAAAACTGCAAAGAAAAATTGAAAGCAAGTCAAGCAAAGAAAGCAAGAAGAATCTTTAGGTTCAAAGCCGCACAAAGAATCAGTGATGGCAGCTAATAATCAACCTCCGCCTCCTCCACCACCTCCAGCGGAGTTGATGGAGTCAATTATGGCTCCTATGTTCCCAAGGCCGAACTCTAGTGTTGTCCGGCCAGAGATAGAGGCCAACAATTTTGACATCAACCCGTCTCTGATTAACCTGGTGGAGAAGAACCCTTTCGGAGGAGAGGACTACGAAGATCCTCACGACTTCATGGACAGATTTCTGAGAATCTTTGACACTACCAAGCATCGTGGAGTGTCTGACGATGCCATCAGACTCAGGCTGTTTCCCTTTGCTTTAACCGGAAAATCCCTCAGATAGTTAGACTGACAAGCTCCTAACAGTATCCGAACATGGGACGATCTAGCCGCTAAATTCTTTGCTGAGCATTTTTCGCGGGAAAAGTACAACAAGTTGGTGAACGAGATCACCAATTTTATTCAGCAGCCAGGAGAGACTCTTTGTGCAGCCTGGACCCGATTTCAGGAGCTGATTAGAAAATGCCCTCAATATGACTTTCAAGATGAGAAGAAGGTCAGAGTCTTCTACAATGGGATGACACCCGACTCCAGGATGGTTGTCAACAGTGCAGCCGGTGGAACCATAGGAAGGAAGACAACAGCTGAAACTCTGGAACTGATTGATTACATGGCGAGAACCAATAATGCTTCAATGCAAGTTCAGCCAGTTCAACCCAAAGGGGAATCTTACAACTGGGGAACAATGATGCGTCACTAGCTGAGCAAAAGATGATCTCACAACAGCTAGCCAGTCTTAACGCCAAGCTAGATAGAATGCAGATCTCATCTAAAGTTAATGTATTCAACTGTGAGTACTGCAAAGAGCCACATGAGACTAATGAGTGCCCTACATTCAATGGAGCTGAACCATTCCAAGTCAATGGAGTGTGGTATGATCCAAGGCCACCACAAGATACCCAAAGTTACCAGAGAAATCAGAATAGTGGCCAATGGAACAACTTTCAAAGGAGGAATCAAGGGAGCGGCTTGGATTATAAATCCAACAACTATCTGCAACCTCCTCCTCTGCCACAAAAAGAGCCATTTGAATTGGAGAAAGAGATGATACAACTGGCCAAGACCACTAATGATCACATAATTAAGACAAGAGCCTACCACAAGAACCAGGATGCTTCCATCCGAAACTTGGAGAGCCAAATAGGCCAGTTGTCTAAGCAGTTGGCTGAAAGAGCTCAAGGACAGTTCCCAGGAGATACAATTGTGAATCTAAAGGCAAACTGCAAGTCCATTGTGACTAGGAGTGGAATTGTAATCACTCCTCAAGAAAAGCCAAAATCGGTTCAGCATAAGAAAGAAAAAGAAGCACCTGCCAGTGAAGAAGAAGCACCTGCCAGTGAAAAAGAAGAACCTGCAAGGCAAGACAAAGAAGAAGCAAAGAAGAAAGCTGTGGAAGCTCCAAAGCAACCGATGGATTTTTCTCGTTTTGAGAAACCTCCTTATCCTATGAGGCTAAAGCAACAAGCCTAGAAGAAACAATATGCCAGGTTCTTAGAAATGTTTAAAAAGCTGCAAATTAATATTCCTTTTGCTAAGGCTTTAGCTAACATGCCTAATTATGCTAAATTCATGAAAGATTTATTGTCTAGAAAGCATAAGTTGCAGGATTGTGAGACAGTAGCACTTACTGAAGAGTGCAGTGCCATCATACAGAATAAGTTCCCACCAAAGCTTCAATATCCTGGGAGTTTCAACATCCCAATTGCGGTAGGCAACACTAATGTTGGTCGGGCACTATGTGATCTTGGAGCAAGCATCAACTTGATGCCATTGTCAATATGCAAGTCATTGGGAATTACTAATTTGAAGCCAACCATGGTCTCTCTTCAGCTTGCTGACCGTCCTTTGAGGAGACCTAATGGAATTATAGAAGATGTTCTTGTTAAAGTTGACAAGTTCATCTTCCTTGCTGATTTCATCGTGCTAGACATGGAGGAAGAGAGTGAAATGCCCCTTCTGCTGGGTAAACCGTTCTTGGCCACAGCTCGAGCTATGATTGATGTAGAACAAGGAAAGCTCGAGTTAAGGATGAATGATGAGAAAATCACTTCAATGTTTTCGATGCTATGAAGAATCCCTCTAATCATAGTGATTGTTTCAAACTTGAAGTGTTTGAAGAGGTGGTTATGGACGAGAAAAGTGATTATCAAGAGTTTGAAGAAGAGTCGAAGGCTCTAGATGAAGCTGCTCCAGAAGAAAAGCAAGCAACTGTCTTTGAGGTACTAGAAAAGAAAGAAGATGACTCAGCTACATTGGTACCAAAGGTGGAATTAAAAGAGTTTCCTGAAACTCTTAAGTATGCTTTCTTGGGAGACAAAGAACAACATCCTGTTATCATCAATAAGGAAGTGCATCAGCAACATAAAGAAAGCAAGCCAAAGGTTAAGATGGAAAAGCCCAAGAGTAAGAAAAAGCATGTAAAGACTAAATTTAAAGTTCCTGAGAACCCTCATCCTCATCCTCATCCACATGCATATGATCATGGAAGGAAACAATACTGGATCAAGAAGATGGGGTCATCAATGGTAGCATCCTTCCAACCACCATAAATCACAAGAGG